GGGGGGGTTCCCCCCCTTTTTTTTTTTCCCCCGGGGGGGATAAAAATTTTGGTTTTTTTTTGTTTTTTTCCTCAAAAAGGGGGGGGAAAAGGAGGAAACGAGTTTTGGGGGGGAATTTTTTTTGCCGGGGTCCCCGGAGGGGGCTTTTTTTTTTGGGTTTGTTTTTTGGTTTTTTCCCAAGGGGAAAAAAAGTTTTTTTTAAAAAATTTTTTTTTTGGGGCCTTTTTTCCCGGGCCCCGGGGAAAAATATTATTGGTTTTTTAAAAAAAGGGGCTCCCCTGGGGGGGGGGTTTCCCTTTTTGGGCCCCCCCCCCCCCCCCCCCCCCCCCCCCCGGTCACCCGCCCAGGGAATATCAACCGCGTATTTATGGTTGCATCATGTAATAAGACCCGTCGATTGGCGCGCGTTTCTCTTGGCCTGTCGAACCTTTCTCAATACGTCCCGACCCAAAAAAAACAGGTGGAGCATGGGTGTCATCACGTACTGCCTCCTGGCAGGGTTCCCTCCGTTCCGATCAGTCAACCTCAAGGGCCTCAAGGAGCAGATATTGTACAGGTGAAAACCCGTTTTTCTGGGGTCGGTCACCATCCGTTTGTACAGCAGCAGCAGCAGCAGCAGTAAAGCTGAATGTCTCGATTTTCCGCCGGTATTCTCGACTTGAGCTCACCTGCACATGGAAATTAAACCCTAGAAGTCGGATGAAGGCCATTCACTGTGGGCTGTAAGCACCGGAGCCGCCGCGCGAGTTTTAGCTTCTTGTTGGGCAAGTACCTTGAACCCAGCAGAGATTGGATCCTGTCGTCCCGTCGTGCCCGTCCGTCTGTCTGTCTGGCCCTCTGTGGCGTTTCGCGAAGTCGACTGACAATCTTTGTATCCGTTTGCTGGCTGGCCTTTTTTTCGCCCGCGGGGGGGGGGGGGAACCTGGTCTTGCAATAAAGGAACATTTTAAGAAGAACCCTGGAAAAATGTGAGCAGCTATGCGAAAGACTTCATCCAGAAGCTTCTCAAGAAGGATCCTCAGAAGCGATGGACGGCACAGCAGGTGGGGATTGTCGTCGTTGTTGGTACTAATGTTGTTGTTGTTGTTGTTGTTGTTGTCGTCAGTGTTGTTCCTGGTGCTTTTGCCGTTGTTGTCCGTGTTGATGTTCTGACGTTATTTTCTTCACCCGACGTAACCATCCGGATCTCCATCCAGCACTTCCTCTTTTTCGCTGTTGATGGGTCACCCTTGATGGTAAGGGAACATACGCTGTGGTTGCCGTAGATTTTTTTTGCTCTTTCTTGGTACCGAAAAACCCGCCTGGTGGTTCTCGCTTACCGTCCATCCCCCGCTGCCGTTGTACGGGGCACTAACAACGACGTCGACAACAACAACAACGGCGAATTGCGTCCAGGCCCAACATCACGCGTGGCTGACGAAGGCTCGCAGCACGAAGAAGAACGCCAAGCTTAGCCCGAAAGTGGTGGAGAACCTGATGCACTTCAAGAGCCTCAACCTCATGAAGGTTTGCGCACGCCGTTTTTTTTGGAGTGTGCCGTTGGCAAGTGTGTGCGTATAGATACAGTCTTGTCCTGTAGCACCCTGTTTTTTTTACCGTTAAACTGCTGCCGTGTTGATGCAATCTTGTCCTGTTAGCACACTGTTTACCGTTGCTGTTGACCGCTGCGTGTTTATGTAATCCTGTCCAGTAGCACCCTGTTTTGCTTACCGTTGCTGTTGACCGCTGCGGTAGATGTAATCTCAAAAGCTTGCCCCGTAGTATACGCCCTACTTCGGTTTATTTTGACCAATCGGACGTCTGATGGACCACCTTGCCTGCCTGAGTTCTTGCTCTAACGGGGTGATGGCTGGTGCCTCGATTTTGGGGTGGCGTTTATGCCGTCGGTTTCACTTTTTTTTTGTTCGTGTTTGTATTTCTTCGTCGCTGTCCGTGTGGTGCTATTTGCTGTTGAGTCCTTGCTAGGGTGGGTAGGGTGGCTGGTGCCTCGCGCATGGGGTAGCCAGCGGCGATGAAAAGCATTGCCACATGTCCTCCTTACCACGGGTTGGGTTGTGGTCTAGAACGAAGGCGTTAGAAACGGTTCTTTCAGCTGCCGAGACAGCCAATGAGAATGGCGATGGTACACCCCATCATCCGCAGCACCACCAACACTAGCAGCACCAACACAAACACTATGTAACCCAACCGAAAAAAGAAGGAACTCGTTAGCACGGATTGACGACGTTTGACACTCTTTTACCTCTACCACGAAGAAGCGACCCCGTTGCGCCGATTGACAACCTTGTTCGTTGTCTTGTTTTGCGCCCCGACGCTGGCATGATGTGAACCCTACCTCGCTGCGACAGCGCGTGGCGTTGGGAGTGGTGGCGAGAACACTGGAGGCGTCGGAGATGAGAAATCTCGAGCAGGAGTTCCATAAGGTACGAACAAACGGATTTTCGGCGGGTTGAACTGGATTTTTGGCGTTTTTTTTTACCGACGTTTAGGTTGGTCTGGAGTCAGGGTCGTCTTTTTCTCTCGTTTTGTAGTTTCCCTCTGTCGTCTCTCTCTCTCTCGCTGTCTCTTTGTCTATCTGTTTGTCTCTCTCTACCTTTTTGTTTTTCTTTCTCTCTCTCCCTCTCCCTCTCCCTCTCCTGTCTCCCTCTCAGTTGCCCCCGTGTGCTCGGATCAGAAGTCGTCGGAGATGGTTCGACTATGGCTCTATTTTGTTATTTTGTGGTCGCTGTCTGTCCTTGTTGTTGTTGCTGCTGCTGTTGCCCGTCTGACGTCTCCCCACCCGTGCGCTGCTGGAGGAGGGCGGTGTTTGTGTGCTGTCTGTCTGTCCCCCGTTCTACTTGCCGCCTTTGTTTTTTTTTCGCTCGTGAAATCGTGATGGTATGGCTTGCCTTGTTGGTTTTGATTCTTCGACAATCCCATGGCTACAGCGGTTTGTTGTTCGCACGTGATAAGACGTGTGTGCACAACAGCCTTATTTTCTCTTGAAACTTCTTCGTAGTAGGCGGACATCGGATACAGCGGGTAATTGTTGCCATTGTGGTAGTATGTGTGGGCGCTTGATTGACACATGCTTCATGCTTCATGCATTTTTTGCGGAAACGTGTTATAGGCGGACATCGCGAGAAGCGGAGAGATCTCCATCGAGGACTTCCGATCCGTCCTGTTGAGATCAAACCAGTTCCAGCGCAAGGAGGTGGACGAGATCTTCGAGGGGCTGGACATCGGTTGCTCCGGGAGGCTCTCCTACACCGACTTTACGGCCGCCGCCCTCAACAGGTGATCAATTTGTTGTTGATGTTGATGTTGTTGTTGTTGATGATGTTTTTGTTGTTGTGTGATGAACACTGAAGCCAACGGACAAGGCGTTGAGTTGTTCCAGGACCGCCGAATTAATTCACCCGCACCGGACAACGACTGGTGTGGCGTTGTCAGGGCTGTATCCTCCCGCAAGCCCAGTTTTTCAGGAACTGATTGATCACCTTTTGGTCGGCAATAGATACGGGGATGGGCGGAGACGGATGGTTGCTCGCGTGCGCCCGGAGCCGTGCCCCTCGAGAATCGCCAACGCGGATGCTTCCCGCATCCCAGCGCACAGATGAAAGATAATGTTTGCTGGGATGCGGGGTGCATCCACGTTCACGAGATGCGCGGCCCCGGGCCCACGCGAGCGACCATTCGTCTCCGCCCATCCGACAACCAAGGCGATCATTGAGTTCCTGAAACTGAGTTTTGCGGCGGAGGACACAGCCCTGACCACCTCGAAGCAGTCGTTGTGTGTGGGGCGCGGGTGAATCCGGGGCGGTCCTGGGAAAAACTCAACGCCATGTCGGTAGCGTTCCGTGTACGTCGCAGGGGGAGACCGACGATCCTCGCCTCACCCTGACCAGCCTGACCTGATGGAGCAGTTGGTGGTGCCATCATGGTCTACTGAAATCATTCATAACTTGTCGGTGGCGGTTTTGGTTGGTAGGATGTTGTGGTGCCTTTGTTTGTTTTTGTGCTCTCGAAATCCGATATTCAGAGCTATGTACCGCGTTGTTGGGGCCCGCTCCCTCTCGTGTCATCTACCGACTCCATCGTAGCCGCCTTTCTGTTATAGTGCGTGACGGGTCAATCTGACTCGGCATTTGGAACGGCGGTTGCGGTCGCTCGGTAAGCGACACTTGGAAGCAAGGACCCCCCCCCCCCGTGACCTTCCCCATCGACGTGTCGGAGACCCCGATCGTCCACTTAACCCTTCCGTTTCCACGGGTAAAACTTGTGCTGCTCGCAGGCAACACTTGGACACGCGACGTCTTAAGTACGCGTTCGAGAGGCTGGACCATGACAACAACGGCTACTTGGACTACGAGGTAGGATGACCGTTCCATTCCTCTCCGCAACGTACGGACCGGGTGAAGTGTGCGCACTATTTATTACTGTCCGAGCAGTCCACGCAAGTCTTTCTAAAGTAAGCAAACATGACTTGATAGTGTAGGGTCGGCTAAGTTAGGGGTGGGGTTAATGTCTGCGTGCCCCCCTTGTCCGGTCTCTTTTTTTCGTGATGAACTTGCTTTCTTTGCGTAGGCAGTCCGTACGCATGATGCAAGGCGGCAGGTATTCCTCGGCTGACTCTGCTGAAAAATGGCGCGAAGGGAGGGCGTCTGTTGTCGGTGGAGGCGTTGGTGTAGTATGACGCCAGAATAGATGAGACGGATACGAAATTCATACACACGTGCACCCTCACGGGGTCTCAGATCATGAAATGTGGTTCGTTTCAGTGGTACTTTGACTGGCGTGTTTTTACTGCTCTGCCGGTTAGCGCGGTCGATGCCAACGAAAAACACACGCACGACGTCTGTTGTACTGCCATTTTTTTGTTTTTTTCACGTGTCATATCCCCCCGCCGCCTTTCTTGATGTTCTCGCAACTGGGAAAACAGGACTTGATGATGACAGTCGGGTCGGACCTGAGCACAGAGGACGTACGAACAGCGATAAAGCAATTCGACACGGACAACAGAGGCAAAGTCTCCTTCGAGTGAGTATTCTTGTATCCGACAGTTTCTACCTGACGCACGGGGTCTTTCCTGCTTTGCCCTCTCCATTTACTCACCCGAGGGTCTCGCCTTCTCCATTTACTCGACGGTCTTGCCCTCTCGATTGACCATTAAGAACCTGCCTTCATCATGTGCCCTACGGTCTCGCGTTGTCCATACTCGACAGGTATTGATTACTGGTCCGGTATCACGCACAGGAGTCTCTCTCAAAATGTTTGTGGTCAAGAGATTTCGTTTCTCTTGGCCGTTGATAGAACCATTTTTTTGTGTTATTTTTTCTCCCGCGAGCGACCCGAAGCGCACTTCTCACATGGAAAAACCACGAGATACCGACCCTCCCAACCTCGTCGTAATACCTACTTCCCACCCCCATCCTTCCACCACTCCTGCCGTTAAGCGACTTTTGCAAGGGTATGCGGTCGACGGGGGGAGCCCTCGACGCTCTGTCAACCGCCCAGCTCACCTCCGGTTACATGGTGGAGAGCATCGCAAAGGGGGAAGGCGCGGCGGCCATCCAGGCGGTGGTCGCCGAGGACTTCTTGCCGCCGTCGCCGCCTGTGTCGGGGGTGCCCGACTCCGCCGAAAAGCTTATTCCGCCGCTCCGGCGGCAGCAGCAGCAGCTGCAGCAGCAGCAGTTACTGCAGCAGCAGCAGCAGGAGGAGGAGGAGCAGCAGCGGGTGGCAGTAGACGGCCGGGTTGCAGGGCGGACGGTGGAGGCGGAAGTGGCCGGAGATGCAGCGGTGGCGGGGGCGAGGAGAGGAGGGGAGCTCTTCGGCAGCATGGAGTCCGGCGGGCGCAACTCGGTGTCTTCGACGGCGGAGACGGCGGCGTTGAGCCGGCCTCAGTCGCTCGAGAGGCAGACCGTCGCCGCCCTCGCGATAGGCGTGGCCAACAACGACAGCAACGGCAGCAGAGGCAGCGGTGGTGCCGCTGCTGCCGCGGCCTCCGACGGCGTTGGCTGTCGGCCGCACTCGCTCGGCCAGGAGTCGACGCTCGCGATGGCACTAGGCTGCGCCGCCGGCAGCAGCGGCGGCGGCGGCGGCGGGAGCGGGAGCGCGCGTGCGCTGTCCCTCGGCCGGTTACCGTCGGTCATGAGCGGGGAGTTACTAACCGTGGGGGGAGGGGGAGCGGAGGCAACGGCCCCGGCGCCCCGAAAATGGTCCAAGGAAGTGCCGCCCGGGGGGGGGGCGCGGGCGGAAGCGCCGCTGTCTCCGGGGGGTACCCCCTCGGCCACCGGCGGCGCCGGCGCCGCGGTAGACCTCTGGGGGGAAGGCGTCAAGGGGAGCCTTGCCGGGCGCAGGATGCGGGACTCGATCAGGCTGCGGGGCGGCCTGCTGGGCGGGCTGCCCGTTCCTCTCGGGTCCACTCCCACGGGAGGGGGCGGGGGCGGCGGAGGGGGTGGCGGTGCGCTCTGGCACGGCGGTAGCGGCGGCCACCAGCAGCCGGGCGCCGCTTCGTCCGCGTCTCCCAACAACGTTGCGCAGGCGGCGGCGGCGGGGACTAGCCCTAGCGTTCTCCCGGACCCCAACTCGGTGGCGGGAAGCTTACCGCCGCCGCACCCTCGCGCGGGGGACATCCTCGTGGGGGGGGTCGGCGGAGCGGTAGGGGTAAGGGAACCACCGCCGCCACCGCGCGATGAAGACGTCGCCGCGTCGGGGACCGCCGGCGGGTCGGCGCGGAGCGGGGGGGGGCCCGTGGAATTGGAGAAGTACAAGCGGTCCGCAACCGCCTCCGCTGCCTCCGCTGAAGCTGCCGCTGCCGCTGCTGCCGCTGCGACAACGACGACATCGACGCCGTTCTTGAGGAAGAGGATCGTGCCGACGACGGTGGCGGACCTGCCGCCGAAGGACTCGACGGCGGGAGAGGCCGACCTCGGGTGGGGCGCCGAGGGTGCGCCCGCGGACCTTGCCCCGCCCGGAAGCAGCCTGGGCGACGAGGGCTCGAGCGGCAGCAGCGGAGCGGCGATGAGGAGCCCGAAGCTGCTGCGGTTCGGCGAGGTCACGCCCGGTCGAAAGCACAGGGGCGGGGGCGGGGGCGGCGGCGGGGGGGGCGGGCAGCGGCGGCGGCACGTACGGCGCTCGACGGTGTTTTGCACGCCCGGTGCGCCGAGAGAGGGACGGGCAGGCGGGGGGGGCGGGGGCAGAAGGAGAGGGTCCGAGTCGGCGGCCGGGAGAAGGGGGAGCGGCGGCGGCGGCGGTGTCGACGACGATGACGACGTTTACCGAAATTACGACAGCAGCGTGGAGGCGGACGATGGCCCCGGCGGAATCCAGAGCCGAAGACGAACGGGAACGTTTTGCATGCCGGGGGACGTTGCAGGTACGGGCGAGAAGAAGATTGTGTTTTTTTTGTTTCTCATTGCTGTGCAAGCGGCCTTGGAAAACGCACGGGTTACATGTAAAAACCGATGCACACGAAATGTAGAATAATCTGCGAAGGTACTCTGTAGCATATTACTTTCGAAACCCAGTGAAGATCGCTCAACGGTCGGTTGGTTGTGCGATTTTGTTGTTCTTTTTTTTTTCTTGCACACTTGCGCCCGGTTCGCTACCCTTTCTTGTTTTTTTGTGGCTTGTTTTCTTCTCTGTTTCCACGTTTTTTTCTCGTTCATCGAAAGCTTCACCCCTTTGCACCACCACACACACGTATTTGTGACGTCATCGTGATTTGTGTTGTTTTTTTTTCCGCCGTTTTTTTTTTGGCTTGCCAACAGCAATCCACAAAGCTGTTGATGCATGTCGTCTTGACGTGAAAAAATCTATCATTGTTCATTGTGTTTCCTCATGCTGTGAGCCCTTTTTTTTTTTTCGCAGGGCAACCCGCACCTTTCTGGGCAAAATGGATGGACGCCATCTTCCGGGGAAACCCGGGAAACCCGGGATAGGGAGAACGGGGGCGGGGTAATCGCTCGCTTCACCACGGCGTTGCCGCTAATAGCTAGTTGCCGCGAGAGGAAAGGGCGAAAAACCTCGCGATCTTGCTTGTTTGCCGCCCCTTGCCTCTTGTTTCTCGGCGGAGCGAGAGAGATAGGTGTGTTGCTGTTGCGCATATGTGCGCGGCTTGTAGAGAGAGGGGGCGTGGGGGCGCGGCCATTATTCCCCAGGTGGCTTCTAATGTTGTTTTCTTCTGCTGTTGCCATTGAGAGGGCGGCCGTCGGGGGGGGGGGGGGGGAGCATGGTTCACTTTTTTTTTTCCCTCCCCTACATTTAGTCCCCTTTTTTCTGTTTTCGGGTCCCGGCGGCGTGGGTCGCGGGACAATTTTGGCGTTTTTGGATGTAGAAAATGTATTTTTTCTTGTGTTCGGAGGGTGCGTATCTTTTATGAGGCGAGACATTTGTTTGTGGTCTCCCGAGCAGTATTGTTCGAACGTGGTGGATTGGATCATTTTGTCCCGATTTTTTCTTCTGGTGGTGGGCTCGCAGCCCGCCGCAAACCCCTTACGCGCGCAGTAATACATATTGCCCTTTGGAAAACCAAAGTGATATATATATATATATATATCTTCTCTTCTTGGAAGTCGAGCGGCCGGTGCGTGATGCAGAGCGGACGGTGGATGTTTTGGTTTTCATGTGTCGGTAGGTTTTCACGCCTTCTTCTTCCGAGGGCATTTCTTGCTTCTGTTCCGACGATGAGACCGAGCGGGCGAACATTTGCCACTCCTCCCCCCCCCCGTTGCACTTTCCTCGTGCAAGTTTTTTTGTTTTCTTTTTTCTTTTTGTTTTCGTTTGTTTGGTTGTTTGGTTGGTTTGTTTGTTCTTCAGGGGTCTTGCTGTGACCTTCTTCGCTTCCCTCGCCCTGTTCTTCTTAAACTATTTCCTTCTGTCCGTCCGTGTGCATGCATGCATGTGGCGCACTATTGTGTAGAGAGAGGGGGTGACCTCACTTGCCTGCTCGTAGCGAGAGTTTCGGTCGTTGTGGTCGGATGGGATGGGTGGGGCGATCCCACAAGCACGCAAGACACGCTTCCCCTAATGACGAGTGTTGTGTCGTAATTCCGCGCGTCTCTCTTGTTTTTTTGCTACTTTTTCGGAGATATCGGGTTAATTCTCAGATGTCTCGGGGGGAAAATTCCAGGAAATTTCGGTCAGTCTTTCAGGCACATCCTTATCATCGTATATTAATTTATACCGCAAGGGGGTGTATTTGCTTTGTGTCGCTCCGTTGCGTTGTGTGTTCCGCTTGTTTGGTACTGTATCGATTTGACAGTTTCAATCTACCCGGATGGTTGGTGCTTGTTGGCTACAACCGCAACACCACCCGATCTTCTTCTTGTATATGTTGCACCCGGGGCTTGAGGTGTTGCTTCTTTCAGCTCCTCTCTCTTCCTCCTTCTTTCCCATTCTTGTTAACGATGGACCCATTGTTGCAGTTTCCGTGCCGGGGGGGGGGGGGGGGGGGGGGGGGGGTTTTTTAGGGGGTTCCCCCCCTTTGGGCCCCCCCTGAATTTCAAAATATAATTTTAAAAAACCAAAGGGTTAATTTTTTTTTGGAAAACTTTTTCCCCGGGGAAAAAAAAAAAAGGGGTCTTTTCCGGAACCCGGGGGGAAAAAACAAAAAAAAAATTTTCCCCAAACACACACAAAAGGAACAGGGTTTGCCCGGCCCCCCCTGTTTTTTTTTTTTTATAATTTACCCCAGGGCCCCTCCCCGGGGGGGTTCCAAAAAAAAAAAA